AGACCTTGGAACACCTTCATTTCATTTTACAAAACAGGTATTACGATGTACATGCTTTAAATGCCGCCTCTTCTTTATGTCATGTTGTAACTTCTTTAAGATTTACTTATTTTATTTATTTATAGCACCTTTATGCTGTGCTTCCCCTGGCAGCGGGACTCAAGGCAGCACGCAAATCAATAAAAAAGACAAGAATTAAAAAGCAATAAAAACTATTGAAAAAGAAAACTCTAGGTTCACCATATAAAACCAAATTAAAATATTAAGAAAAGCATTTAAAAACACAAGAAAAAAGACATGTTGGCAGCAAACATAAGGCAACTATTAATCACTAAAGTTTCATCAGAATAAAAATATTTTTAATCGCCTCCAAAAAGAAGGGGGCAGCCTAGCCTCTCAGGGGGAGGGCATTCCATAATTTGGGGGGGGGGCAACCACCAAGAAGGTCTGTTGTCGAGGTCCCTGTCAAATGTACCTGTGAAGGAGGCAGGACTGAGAGAAAGGTCTCCCCACGCAATCTTAAGACCCAAGAAAGTTTTACATCAAGTATAATGTTCTAGGTAATTTTTTAAAAATTCCTTGTTTGCTTTTATTTGCATATTTTTCACTAAGTCTTAATACTGCATTAGCACAACAGGACTTCTTCCTCACTTCCTCATTACCACAGTTCTGCTCCAAAAAGCTTCCTATATCTCCAGATAAAATGTTGAGAACTCCAGAGGGGAACACATTTCCGGTTCCAGCAAAAGAAGCCTTTCTGTCAGCAGAGTAACAGTACTACATCCAGGCCTACACGTGTGCCTCATGCTGTCCCCCGTCCCCAAGGAATATTTATTTGCTCAGGGATACAAAAAGCAAATAAATAAAATTGCCTTCTTAGCCAAGGAAACAGCTGAATACGAGCTCCTGTCTGTACTACTGCTTCTTCTCCTGCTATTTTAAGCAGTGTTATAAAAATCCGTCATTAATGATAACTCTTTTCTTGCCTGCTCCTCTACTCTGTGTCTGAAAGACAAGTCCGGGCCAATTTCTTCCTTCTGCCTCTGGCAGGAGAGTGGAGCTAGCATTTCAGATCCTCTACCAAATCCTGGCCGCTTCAAAGGGAAAACTGTACTTTCTTCCGCTAAGATCATAAGAAATATAGGAGGAGGGGGTCAGCTCTGTTTGGACATAATTACATTTCATCAAAAGAAGCTTTCTTCATCTTCCATGCGTGAAAAGTCTGCAAGCAGTTAAGTCTGTCTTTTCTCTCTCTTTCTTGCTTTCTTTTTTTAAACACAAAAATTGCTATTTGGGAAAGTAGCCAAAACTTGGAAAGCCAGTATGGTAAAACTGTGCACACACCCTTTGTTTTCCTTTGAAGTTCCTTAAATAAATATGTTGGGAGTTTGTAAAGTACACTATCACTTTTCATAGATTTTACTTATATTGATCAGAGTAAGCCTCTTATCCATGGGAGGTAAGGTGGGGGAGAATCACAGTGATTCTTTAGCTACTTATTTCGTGTTCTACTGTATATGTACTCATGCACATACATATATGTGTATACCTCTATGAAATATGCTGTGCATGTCTGAGTATTCATACATAAATCATGTTTAAAATGAGATTTGGAGCACACAGGTGCGACATCATACTTCTTTTTTCAGCACTAGTCATGGGTTACAGCTACTGCACTTCTGCTGTAGACTGTCATGGAATAAATGTGAGAGAATTTTCAGGCTTAATCAACATAAAAGCAAAACAGAAATTGACTTTAAAGGAAGATATTAAAAAATAAATTTAAAAAGGATAGATTCACACCTTATCCTTGAGGGCTGGAACACCCATTATTTTGTTTCAAATCACCTCTGCACTGGAACTGTGTTTTACTGTGCATAATTAAAATACAGTAGAACCCCCTTATCTATGGGATCAGTATCCACTGTGGATAGCAGTCTGAAACTATAAAAAATATTAAAAGGAAAAAAATCAGAAAAACTATTTCCACATGTATTGCCAGAACTGGCCACTAGAGGGAATAAGAGACCAAGCCTGAATACTTGTCAGTGAAGGATACATAGCATGGTCTCTGATGCCATCTAGTAGCCAGTTCTGGTAATGCATGTGAAAAAATTTTTTTTCTGGTTTTTCCCCCTTTTACCATGCTATCTTGCTCTCTCTCATTCACTATTATCCACAGTTTTCTGTATCCATTGGTGGAGCTTGGAACCAATTACCAGCCAATATGGGTGGTGGTGGTTTCCTACTGTAACTTTAAATGTATTCATTATTGGCCATATTCCTAAAATTAAAACCATTAACTGGTGAATGAATCACTTTTAGCAAATGGTTAGGATAATATCAATGAGCACATCTGACTGAAATAATTAAGGCATCTGTCAGGATTCTGATTCTGGCTGTTCTCACAGCTCAGAGGTATTGCTTTTGGCTTTCAGATGCATTAATTAGACACCCCAGAGTGCTCTGGTTTCTATTTTTTCTATGCTGACACGAGGAAGTATGTTTAGCGCTTGCTCCTCTGCAAACCAAGGCACAGGATCCCGCCAGAGTTCCCTATTCTCTAGTATTGATCCCACGCTCTGTGATGAAGCAGCCACCTGCGCTGAGGCCTTCGTGAAGACCCGAGAGTATCTCCTGGGGAGAGACTGGAGTGAATCTACTACCAGGCCCTTCTGTCATTTCCCCAAGATGCATGGACCTTTTTACAATGGGCAGTTCCAGTACAAACTAGAAGCCATCGTTAGCAAGGAATTTTCTTCACCCTTGCCTTGAGAGATAACCTGAATACAACTCACTAGAATGTTACAAGGTTGCTTTACATAAACAGGAATAAATTAAAATATTTAGTTAATTGCACTTAACAGAGCCAGAAAAAACCTTTGATTTGAGGATCTCTATTTCTGTTCTATTTTGAGGCATCAGTTTAGTCATTAATTTCATTTCTAAACCAATTATAAAAAGTATAAATGGAAACTTGTTTCAGTTTTACTATTGCTATAGAAGACTCTTATGATTACACGCTACATTTCAATTTATACAAGGGAAGCCAAGCCCACTGCCTCTGAAGATGGCACCAGCGGCAACAACAGGAGCAGGTAGGCGGAGGCACGGGGGCCGACAGGAATCCCCTTTCGTCAAAGCAGACAAAACACCAAAGGGAAAAAAGACTGGCATTTTGTTTTGCTTTGGCAAAATGGGAACCCCGAACCGAGTCACAAACCAAATTGAACTAGCCTGGTTTATCATTTTTCTCGTTTGCTGTTCAGTTCGTGCCCATCTCTATACAAGATCGCTGCTGATATACAGTATAAAGTCTGTAGCAGTGGACAATGGAGACAGGCAAGGCCTTGGATTATAAACTTTATTGCAAGAAAAGAGTGCTGCATGTGTGGTCCTATCTCCACTTGTGAGATGTTGGGGTATGTGGAATTTTCTCTGCTAACTTCCTGCAGTTTCCAGTCTCTATGTCACCATTGTCTTCTGCCTTTCTTGTCCCTTAAAATGTCCAGCAGTAATTATTCAGCAGAGTACAAAGAAAAAAAACAAACTTGCGTCTCCATTAGGCACAAAGAAACTATCCTACCAGAATGTCCCCAGCACAAGGGATCCCTTGAAACTGTTTGTTGACAAAGGGCTTGGAAGAAACAGCAAGTTGTAATTCCCAAGAATATTCCCACTGGTGGGATTTTTGAACTCTACAAAGATGCCCCTCTGCTACAGCTAACACAAAATTTCCAGGATTGAAAAGACAATGTCTTTGGACTTATCAAATCTAAGCTACAAACCAAGCCTAAATTCCAGATGGTTTTGACCAGGACCATTGAAATTTCATTATTTTCAAACTAAAAGGACTCATTTACAGATACACAGACACCAAACACAGAAACTAGCTAGTATCTTAATAATTTTTCCTCTTAGGCACTGAAAAGTTGTTTCATCTTGATGACTGGAATCCTATAATTATACTGATTTGTGAAAAGCTTTTACAAAACCCTGTGAAATTTGCTATGAAGTGATCATGTTTAGGATCTTTCTGCATAAGTAATATAAGTTTGTTTCTGTTTGCATCATAAGTGTACAGTACAAGGTTTAAAGACAGTTACGTTTCCATTTGTAACAACATAATAAGCCCTTCATACTTCTCTACCATGATCTCTTTGCTGGTATCAACAAAACTAGAAACAAGTAATTTTGTGAATATTTTCTCTTAAATTAGATCTCATAAAACCAAGAAAAATGTAAATGGTCAGAGAAGTATTGCGTCTCAGAAAAACATGAAATTTAGGGTTTGTCTACGTAGTAGAAGAGGAGCAGGATGGATTGAGCTAAATGAGGTCACTAGGAGGTCCAGATTGGTCAGGCTCTCAACTAGACTTTTAAACAAAAGGCAAAAAGCTTCCAGGAGGAAGTTTTCTATTTTCCTTTTATTTTCTTTTAAGTGGTGCAGCAAATATTCACTGCCCTAATACACATTTATTTTTCCCCACTTCGTCAGCCACTCCATGGAGCCAAAGAAGTGATTAATTTGCCAGTACACTGAAGTGGCTATTTCATTAAGCCACTTCACAATGCTGGCAAACTAGAGGAATGTTTGTGTTTGGTCTGTTTCTAGTGAAAATATACACTGGAAATGAACCAAAACAGAGCTATCCTATCTGCACAAAAGAAAAAAGAAATAAAAAAAACCCTGACACAGTCCAGAAGGTATGAGTAGGACCACTCTGGGGGGCTGTCTGGTTTGCTCCAACAAAGATGTTGTCTGGTCAATGTCTTTAGGAGTCAACCAGCCCCTACAGCAGAGCAAACAGCAGCTAAATGGCTACGTAGCCAACCTCGTACTTTGGACAAGAACAGAATTTTGCAACACCACATCTATCTTGCATATGAAACTCTGAGGAAGATTCATTTACACATTAATCAATACCTCTGTGTGAAATCAAGTTTAGACCTAGACTTTGTATCCATTTTTTAAACAATCACATAATGTAATGATGTACCTCTTCCACTTCTCCCCACAAATCTCAGGTCATTAAACCGTGCCACTTGATTCTTCATTACAGCAGAGGCATTCCTCAGCTCTGCAGAATAATTTTCATCATTTCCAGCCATGACTGTAACCACGGTGCCATCAGGGACTTCTCCTAATGCCACTACCTGCAACAACAAAGACACAAAATTAATCTCTTAGAATTATGTGGCTTTCAATTTCAAGCCTATCACTGATTTTTTAATTACGTAAGCAACGATTAAATGAAAAGGAGAGTGAGGCCGTGCCATTTACTACACAATGGCACCCCTTGTTTGTTGTGTGGGAGCCATGTTTGTAGTGGAATTTCTTATACACCTATAAGACCTACCTCCCCCAATTAGTGATGCAGGATTCTGGCAAATGGAGGTGAAGGTAAATGTAGATATGTTAAAAAAAAGGCTCTCCCCTATAGACATGGCCTCAAAGGGCTGGAAGGTGGAGCCAACAGGGAGACAGTGGCAGGCAAGAATGTTCATCCATTCCATAGCAGTGCTATCTGCATGATTTGCAAACAAAGCTACAGAAAAACTTTCTTTCTTATATTGCCTTGTTGCAGTATTGCAACATGGAACAGAAGCATAATCAGGTTATTTCTCATAACACTAGCACTTGGGGAGAGGAGATGCTTCCATGACAGCATTCCCTTCTACTTCTAAATCAGGATCACGAAATCTTAGCACTGCATCAGATTATCTATGTTTATTGTCTTAGAAACCAGACTTTTAGCTTTAAAAACAAAATAAGACAACTAGTGGGTCTACTTCTCTTGATAATGAGGGAAAAAATAAAAATGTATAATTATTTTATGTTAAAATTTTTGGGGACTGTGGCTTTAATAGTCAGAGATCTTTATTCATAGCAATTCTTGTTTTGGCCTAGAATCCCAGTACTATGTCAGGGTCTCCCTTCTTATGGAACAAAAGAAACAAAATTGAATTCATTTTGAAGAAACTTGTTAAATTATACGTATACATTAACTAACTATATATTCCATATGTTTTGAATATATACCATGGAGTTTTTTGAGTCTAGAACTGAAAATTGAGGGAAATTGAGGCCAGAACTCTACTGGTGTTTGCTCAAGGAGTGCATAATGTGCCCCAGCTAATTGCAGCTAGTTGACAAGCTTCTGGGTCACTCGCTTAATTCTGCAACAAAGATGTGCCACAGTACATGCTCAATTAGTCATGATAAATTATGCAACCTTATGCAAACACCAACAGGATTCTGGCCATTATAACTTATAATTTAATTAAAATCAAAATGCATGAATTACTAATTTTGAACTTATCTGCAGAAACTTCATTTTACATTACTGCTCATAAAGGTATGTTTTATTCAAAGCAAAATTCAAAATTAATCTGAGGCTGCCAATTAACCATCTCACATTAATGATCCCAATATTGGCTATTTTATCACATAACTGAATACTTCTGATTGCCCACAATCATCCTTTAACACTCTAGAATATATTGATCATCCTCCCCATTCTGACCTGTCAATGTAAAAATCAACCTCCTGCTTCTACATCAATAACAATTGTGTGCCACTAAATCAATACTGACTTATGATGATCCTTTCCAGGGTTTTCTACATAGAGAGTACTTTTACCATTTCCTTCTTCTGGGGAGCACTTCTGGGACTGTGCAGCTTGCCCAAGGCCACACAGGCTGGCTCTTTTCCCGGGAGGCAAAGTGGAGAATTGAACTCCCAACCTCCAGTTCTGCAGCCAGGTATCTAACTTACTGAGCTAACCAGACAGCCTACATTAGAAGTGAGAAATCTAATTCAATCAAATAGCAATTTGATTCACAACCAATCTTCCATTTTCATTCACTTTGGATCAGTAGAGGCGGTGGATAGATTTGGAGCCAGCATGGACACTGGCTTCTCACTTTGCGATCCACATTTTAGCTCATAGGCACCCCCCTTCATTTGTTCCTGTCTCTGCTATTCCCCCCCCCCCGCGTGGAGGTGATCTAGCATTAAACTAGCATATTGATGCACGGCTCAGAGTGGAACTCATTTGTTTTTTAAAAAATAAAAAAAATTGAGCACGCTTGGAGGATAAATAGGAGGGATAGATAATCCTGCACACTCCAACTGTCTATTTCAGTACACCACCACCCACAGATACGACCCCCTGTTCTATTGCAGAACAAAATAACTGATCACACAGGGGAAAGTCTGTTTGAATTATTCTGGCTTGAAGAAAGTCAAAGCTTTCAGCGGCAGAGGAAACATTGAGTTGGGAGCCAAACGGGCTGGACTGATTTGAATTGGCCTTTGCATCATGTAATTTTTTTTAATTGAATCCATCCATTTTATAACTGGAGCAAATCCCATGGTTTTTTACTATGTAGTTGCAGCCTGAGAATGAATAATTCTGATGCAAAACTACCATTGTCATAAAAAATTTAAACATCAAGTGTTCAGCAACACACTCAGCTGATGTTCAACATTTCATTATCTATTGTTATTCAAAATCTGTACTTTACATACACAATATCAGTACTCCCGTAACTTTCATTAAACAACAAGCTATTTATTATAACATTCATCCAACAGGAGGCTAGTGTTTAAGAACACTCAGTTAAGAACTTGCAGAGCGCGGGCAGCATACAAGTTGAATAAAGAAATAAATAAATAAAAGAAAATATGTCAAATCAGTTATAAATGTGAATATAACATTTCCACTGAAATTGGTAGTACTGAAAAGTGTTTCATGTTGGCTGGAATATACCTGTTACACCAACTGCATTTCCTGTCACCAAAAGGTCACAGAGTAAATGGAAATTGGACTATAAATGAGCCAAGGAGGAGGAGTGCATTCAGTGTTGGATTGGGACATAGGAGAGCCACATTATAGTGCACACTGAACCATGAAACCCACTGTGCAACTTTGGGTCACTCACTCTTTCTCCCTCTCCTCCATTCTCTCTCTCTCTCTTTGCATGACCACACTGCAGGATTGTTGTGGGGATAAAGTGGGCAGGAGGAGGCCAAGGTGCACTGCCTTGAACTCATCAAAGGAAAACCAGATATAAATGTACAATAAACAAAGAAAACAGAATGAATAACTGCAAAAAACCTCTGAAAGAGTAAAACTGTTCTAATCCTTGGAGCTGAAAAAAAATTAAGTCATAAAGAGAATGTATAACTAGAGACGACCCGTTAACAAGAAAGATGAGATGGGAGAGATGATGATGTGGTTTTGTGATGAGCTGTTGGAAGATGGAAGGTAGGGAGAAATCCTGGAATGGAAGGAAGAAAACCATGTGCTGTCATGCTGCTACACACCAGTACAGCCAATGCTTAATTTTTTAAGGAGATGGTTGTCTTTAGCCTGTTTGAGAGACACTTCTTCAACCACTCTGTAAGCCCTGCTTTTCTGTTATATTCCGTTTATATTCTATTCAATTGCACAGCAGTAGAATAGAAGAAGATGTTCTGAGGCACTGAGATATTTTTAAGAATTCTGTGGCATGGATGCACCAACAGATGTCAGACCAGCAAATTCTTGATGTGCCTCACTACTCTTCAACAGTGACATGGGGCTACTGTCTTATAAATCATATGAAGTGCATGCAGATTATATGTGTGACTTGCTATGTTGCCAGTGGCATGTGTGTGTGTTTGTGTCACTTTTTTAGTTAGCTACTGCTATTTGCATGCAGGTTAAGCTCTAGTTTCTGCTTGTGATGCATTTGAGCCTAGATTACTTTGGTCCCACTACTGTCCTCCTCACAATGCTGGTAAGCAGTGGTGGGATTCAAATAAATTAACAACAGGTTCTATGTCCTAATGACCATACAATCAATCCATCAATCCATCAATCCATCAATCAATGCTCAGGACAGTGGGATCTGATGAGGGTTTCTTCCACAGTGGTCTCCCTACTGCCTATTATCACAACTACTTCTCACATGATTAAGACATCTGGATAAGCGTATCTGTTTGGGCATATCGCTGCCGTTACCCTCACCGTGAGCATATGCCAAAACACACAAACAAACACACTACACTTCACTGTGGGTGCTTATGACCAAGTCTGACAGAGAACTGACACATCTCTCCTTCCCTTTACCTCTTATTTCGCCCTATAGCTCACCAGTAAAAATAGCTTCCCTCTCCTTTCCTGCTCCTGAAATGACTGATAGCCCTGTTTGTTGTTACCTGGAGGCCACCTTTGCGCACCTGTTGTGGAGTTATTCCCCCCCCCGCTTCCTTCTGGCTTGGAAGGGATAGTCTCTTTTCAGTCTGTCGCCACTCCACCTCAACCCCACCACCTCAATCAGTCCTTCAGTTACTGACTCTTCTGAGGTCTCCTCCTCCTCCATCTTTCCCCTCCCCCCTGCGCCAACCGCTTCTCCTCGCTAGTCGCTTTGACGGGTGTTGGTGTTGGTGGCAGCACTGGTGGTGATGATGGTTTCCCTCAGAGCCCTGGCGGGCTTCCCCTCCCCTACTCATGCCTTGTCAATCACCCTCGTCTCTGCCTCGAGGCCACGGGCTTTCCTCCAGTGACGTCAAGGACTCATCCTCCCCCCTTTCCCCTAGTGACGCCTCTGCTCTTTCCAGGGCGTTATCTCTCTCACCCACACCCCACCTCCGACGGCTCAGTGTGGCACAGGAAAGGAGGCAGCTAATTGCGCCCCCTCCCCCTGCTCATTGCTGGTCACCTGGCGCCTCCTCCTTCATTCATCTCAGGCCAGCAAACGGTTCTATGAACCAATGCTACATTTAGGAATCGGTTCTATAGAACTGGTGCGAACTGGCTGAATCCCACCTCTGCCACTAAGCTACTCTCACATACGCACAAGACATCATCACTGATGCACAAGAGCGTCCCTAAACTGACCCTCAAAATCACAGAGGGCAACTATTATTGTAATGTAATGAATGAACCAGCTAGTGACTGAGCAAGCAAGGCTGTTCCCCTGCAACTCCTCTACACTTTCCTGGCTGCCCTTAACCCAGTTATCCTATATAACTCTGCATTGTTCACCTCAGACACAAATTTTAGGTGCATTAAACCTGCTGGAATAAACTGGGATTAACAATTACCCTGGTCCTGGGTCACATTTACAAATTAGGTTCTTAAATCAGAATTTGGCCAAAACTGATC